TGTTTCTATTATTATATAGGATTCTTTCTTAATGTCCTTTTTCAAAATTTCTCAACCTCATCTTCATTGATATTTTGTCTGAATTACTCCTTGTTATGGAGTAATTAAGCATAAGTTTTGGAATTACTCCAAATTATCATGTATAGCAGTATCTTTGACCTCTAGTCACTAGATGACAATGCCACCCTCACCCCTGGTCCTTCCACTATGACCATCAGAAATGTCCCCAAATATTATCAATTGACTCTTGGGGCAGTGATTGGAGTGTGCGTAATAGGCAGTAGTTGAGAACTGCTGCCTTATTTTCTTGCTTCTGGTAGATTTTCATGTTTCTTCTGACTTAAAACTGATGTGCAAATTAAATATCAAGGCTGCATATCTCTCAAATGATGTTATTATATGGATTTCAAAATCTGTATTATCACCCAGCCTGTGCAGCTCAGTGGTTGAGTTGAACTGCTCCAGGAGGTCACAGTTCAATTCCTAGTCAGGGCACATGACCAGGTTGCAGCTCAATCCCCAGCATGGGATTTGCAGGAGGTCGCCAATCAATGATTCTCATCATTGATGTTTCTATCTCTGTCTATTCTTCTCCCTTCCTCTCTCTCTAAAATCAATAAAAACATTTAAAAATATCTGTACTATCTTTGAAACTGGGAAATGTGGTATCTAAAAATTCTTCCTTATAATTTCTTTGTATTTTTTCTTTTTGCTTTTGGGAGCCAAAATAATATTCCATGCTCTAAAATCATATTTAGAGCTGGTCCTGTTTATTCGATTTCTCCAGAGGCTCATTTTCTTCCTTTCAATTCAATTTTATTTAAATACTTGCCTATTCTCTTTTGCACAACTCTCCCAAAAATTCAAAGAAGCAGAGAGATGTATACCTAAAAAGTCTCAGGTCCTTCTTTCTCCCACTCCCAGGAAACAGTTGTTGGGACATGACTATGCAGGTCCTTAGCTAAGCCAAACCCTTTGGGCAAAGCACTGTAGAAAGTGTACACTTTCTGTTCCAGACACTTAATGTATTCAGTGGCTAAAAATTCTGTCAAAATGATTTTCCCATGAATAATGGCTAAACCTACAGCATTTTCTAGATAACTTTCATGAAAAGGAATATCCATATTTTCTCAGACCTGCAAACAAACCTGCTAGTAGAAAAGACAGCCCCCTTGGGCCTCTGGAGAAGGGTTTGGGGGAGATCTAAGACTCTGATAACTATGTCCACTCTCTATGTAACCAGGTTCTTAGAAAAAATAGCTTCCTTATTCTCTGGAGGCTTCAAAGTGAACAATTAAAATTATTATTTCCAACATAATTCTGATCTTTTGAAAAAAGGTCATTTCATCACAAGCAAATATAAACAAAAAACAAAGGCTGAAATCCACCTACTAGTAACAGTAAGAATTTAATTCACAAATTGTAAAATAGGCATGATGATAAGTAAAAGATAATGTGAATAAAAAGGCCATAGTCCAAAATGCTGCCATTCATAACAATGGTTATGAAATGTATGTATACATTGTATATACATATATGTGCACACATGCACACTGAGACAGAGAGAGCAGCAGAGGCAGAAACAGAGAACTAATTACATGTCACAAATTGTTCTAAGTGCTTTACACATGAAATGTCACTTAATTTCCACAACATTTTTGATAAATAATTATTAATGTCTCCAGTTTTTATAGATGAGTCTCTGAAGTTCCAAAAAATTTAGACACTGCAATGACAACAATGAAAACATAATAAAATAAGAAATGGACAGCAAACAGAACATATACACATATGAGAATCTCATTTTGTGCATAACTGGAAAAGTAGTTCTTTATTGTAAAATAAGAGGAATTCAATTTTGAAATGAATCATAGTTTTCATAATAGATCAGAAACTGTGTATCTCAAGTGTGCTTCATTCATCTTAGGAAGGTTTTATGGCAAACTAAATGTGTGTGTGTCTTAACAGTCCAATAGCAAAACAATTTAAAACATTTAGATTAAATGAAAGCAAACATGGGGGCTGCAAATTTTTAAACGTGTTCAACCAAACCTGGGTCAACTTTGGAGGCACAAAGAAAATTGAATGAAAAAGACTCAAGCATAAAGATCTGCCCCCTGACTGTTCCCTCCACTCTATAACACAGCAGCCAACCAATTCATCCCTACACCAGCCTCCATTACGGGACCCTGGGTCCTACTAAGAAAATATTCGCCAGGAAAATGTTTTGGAGCCCACCACTTTTCTGAGAGCTTCTTTCACATCCTTGTTCCTCACACTATAGATCAGGGGGTTCAGCATGGGAATCACTACTGTGTAGAACACTGTGGCCACTTTGTCAGTATCCGCACTGTTGCCCGAATTTGGTCGGCAATAAGTGAAAAGAATTGTTCCCTGTAAGACAATGATGGCTGTGAGGTGGGAGGCACAGGTGGAAAAGGCTTTGTGTCTTCCCTGTGCAGAGTGCATCCTCAGGATGGTGATGAGAATAAACAAGTAGGAGGTGAGGATGATCATGATAGTGATGATCTCAATGAAATCGGCCACAATGAACACCATGAGCTTATTAACAGAGACATCATAGCAGGCAAGGTTAAAGATTGGGGGTAAATCACAAAAGAAGTGGTTAATCACATTTGATTTAAAGGATGGGATCTCAAGAGCTAAACACAAGTGAATCAGAGAACACACAGTCCCACTGAGGTAGCAGCAAAACACAAGCTCCACACAGAGAGTCCGGGACATGGTGACCATGTAGAGCACCCAGAACCGTGACTCCATAGATTAGAAGGAACAGCAAGGAGAGAAAGACTCTCAGTTCAGGGACATCAGATAATCCCAGAAGAATGAACTCTGTCACAGAGGTGCAGTTCCCCTCCCCCATTTCCACATCTGTCAGGTTTAGAAAACCAAATGATAGGTTTTATGTGTCTTCTGAAATGGAAATAATATAGAAAACACATATTTATATTTAATTAAGAAAAATATCACATTAATGTCAAACCCAGTGAAGAAAAACATCGCATTGATGTCAAATACAACATATCTGTAATACCATTGTCAAATAATTCTAAATGTTCAGTGTGCAGTGTGTCAGCAGAATTTCCTGATCAAATCTAAAGTATCAGTAAAAACCTGAATGATTTCCAACAGTTATCTACCACAAGAAATTGAGGTGATGAATTTATTTATGTGTTTGATGGACTTTGGCATAGATATATTCAGTATATATTTTAAAATATATATACTGAAATCCATCATCATTTTCACTTGTCAATTTAACAAAGTGATTTAATTATATATAATGGCCGTTATCAATATCAATAATGACTCAGAAAGATATAACTCTTATGTAAATTTTTCTGGAAAGCAACTTGGCAATGTATATCCTTAATCCTGACAATAATAAAAGCAACCTGACATATTTATGAGAGATTTCATTCTTAGTAAGCTGTTAGAAGAAATGTTTAATTACATTTACGAATTATGAAAAACTATATTCAGAGCTACATTGTGGCATTGTTTATTATATCCACAATGTGGGGAAAATAATTGTCAAAATAGAGCAATTTTAAAAATACATTATATCGTATCTAAAGTAGAAAGTTATGTTGCAGCATTTAAAATGACATGTGGAGATGGTTATTCTATTAAAAAATAAACTAGTACACTTGGTGTATATATATATATAGATTTAAATAAAATGTATATGTTGAGATGTGAATACATATGATAGAAACATCATATGATATCACATTATCCACATTAAGAAAGAGATAAGGGAAAACTTTCCCAAGTTCTCTAGTAGTTGGTTAGGGAAAGTAGTTATTTTGCATGTTCTATGAGTCCAATTTACCATTCAGACCTGTCCTAAAAGAAAAGTCATATGGAAGGTGAGAAATGTTATTCTCTGCCCTCCTTCATAGAGGAGTATACCCATGAGTTCATACACATATATGTAATGACAACTGAGTAAGACAATATGGACTGAAAACATAACCTTGTATTTTCTCGCATCACTTGTGCTAATTTTAAAGAAATGTAAAGAAATCACCTCTTGAAGTCATTGTTTTCTCTTTACTTCACCTCCCCAAAAACCTGAATTATTAGCCCATTTCAGAGTTAAAATGGGAAAATCAGCTTGCAAACACTTCTTCCTAATGTATTAGCATGATAATAAGAAACTAGTTTATGATAAACACACAAAAACATCTAAAAGAATTCATTTCATTTACTGAGCCGAGGTAGTCTACACGTCCTTTTTCTCCAACTCAGAGGACACATAAATTCAACCCTCAGATTCTGGGTGACAATTAGGGAGCTCTCAATTCCATGACAGAAATTGGTGTGGAAAAGGCAAAATGAGACTGAGAGAAAGAAGGGGGCAGAGAATACCATTTGTTTTCTCAATATTCTTTCACATACATCATCAATGTTTGGTGTTCCAGAGGAAATTGTTCTAATTTCACTATCAATTGTCTCTCAATACTAAAAGAAAAACAAACATTTGAATCAGTGAGTGCACAGGAATATGATCTGTGAAATTGTTCTCTAAGTAGAAGCCAGATGAGTTAAACTAAATTACATAATTGTTTCCTAGAGAAATATATTCATTTCCACTTTCAAGTAACCAAAGTCTAGTTCTAGCTAACAAACCTGAGTGACAGGCAGTTCCTCCGTATTGCTGGAGATGTTAGGATAACTGTAGTACACAGTTAGAGACTTATATGTAATTTTAACACAGTTAGAGACTTCAACTGTAATTTTAACCCCTGGGGAATGGGTCCCTTTAGTTCCAATTCTATCGTTAGTTATTTATGCTATAAAAATAAATGAAAATTCAACTAGTTCTTCATGTGGTATCAGACAAATAATTAATCTCTATGGAATATCATCAGGAACTTTTGTAAATGCCCTAATTTGTGAAACAATTGTTTGAAACCAAAAAAGTCTCCTTCCAGATTTCGTGGTGCTGCATGACATTCCATCCTAGTGTCATATGTGCAGGTCACAAATCACATGCCATCATGAAATCGCAGGAATGTTTCTCATTAATTCCTTCTTTCTTGTAATATTACAGAATCACCAAAATTCCAGCAAGGTACAGTGACTAAAGCCACACAGATTCCCTTCAAATGCTAGGACGGAGATAACCCCCTGTTCAGAAAACTAGTACTAGTGCTAGTTCACACTTCTTGGGCTCTTGTTATATATTATTACCTATTGCACATAAGTTCCCCAGTTAATCACTCCCCACTGACTCCCTATCCCCTCCTTCCCTATGAAATACGTGAGATTGTCTCATGCTTCTATGTCTCTGGATCTATTTTGTTCATCAGTTAAATTTGTTCATTAGAGTCCACATATGAGTGAGATCATGTGGTACATATCTCTCTCTGACAAGCTTATTTCACTTAGCACAATACTGCCCAGGTCTCTCCATGCTGTTGCAAAGGGTAAGAGTTCTTTATTTTTTACAGATGCATATTATTCAATTGTGTAAAGGTATCAAAGCTTTTTTTAACCACGCATCTGCTGATGGGCATTTGGCTAGATCCCCAGTGTGGGGCATGCAATGTGGGGCATGCAGGAGGGTGGACTAGATGTCAATTGTCATTGATGTTTCTCTCTCTCCCTTTCCCTTCCTTTCTGAAATCAATAAAAATATATTTAAAAATAATAATGTCAGCATAATGTTGAGAGGTTATCACTATTGTTCAATGATTAAGACTGAGGAATGAAAAAGTTTAAATTACTAGACAAATTTTAAAATTCAGAATCAAGTCACAAACCTTGGTTTTTGTAAGCTCAAGCATAGTGTTTTCTAACTTTATTATAGATATAAGGCAAGAAGCTACATTAAATACGTAAATATAGTGTAGAAATTTACATAAACATAATGAAAGGACAAATAAATTATCAATAGTGCATGTAAATCAGGATTGAATGAAGAAATATAATTTAGATCCATAAAGGAAGGATAAACAAAGGTCATTTATTTTATCAAGAGCAAAAATAAAAAAAGAACATAAACAAAGGCTGAAATCCACCTATAAGTCACAGTAAGTGTTTGATCCACAAATTGTAAAATAAGCATGATGATAAGTAAAAAAATGAAGTGATTAAAAAGGCCACAGTCAGAAATGCTGACCCACATGACCATGGTTATTAAATGCATGTATACATTTTATATACATATACATATAAACACATGCACACTGAGACAGATAGTGTTATATTATAAATCAGCGCACTAAACAGAAGACGCCTTAATCAATAAGCCAAATTAATTTTGAGCATTTATTATGCTAGCAGTCTCAGAGGAGTTTTCTCTCAAAGTCTGAACAAATTAACCTGGAGGAAATTTTCCCTTTATATCTTTCTAGCTTCTTTGTCACCTAAATATGGAATGGGACTTCCAGGCCTTTCACAGGCTTTTCAAAAAAAAATAACTATCTGCTGGGATGGTGCCGTGAAACTATATCTCAAGGCTTCCCCTGGCAACAGTATTGACAACTCCGTCTAGGGGTTGTATGGTTTATGGCTTTTCCAAAATGTGAGCAGTGCTTAAGTAAACAGGTCCTGCAGGACCAGATAAGGGAGCTCTTTTTTCCTATTATGTGAGCAAGCGTGTTTATATAACAAGGAGCCATTTTAGTAGAAAATTTCAAACAGCAGTTTTTACAACATAGAGGTTACTGAAACAAGATGGCCTATGATTCAATAGAGGAACAGAGACAGAAACAGGGAACTAATTAAGGGCCATCAATTATTCTAAGTGCTTTACACATGACATGTAACTTAATTTCCCCAACTGCTAGGAGCCAGTCCATCCTTGCTGTTTCAAGGTACCTGGCATATATAGCATACTGCTCTT